GCTTTTATTAAATAATTATCTGAATCTTACAACCAAAGTTTTCATCTGATGTAAAATGTTTGGAAATCCATTATTGTATTCAGTAAACATTTAGTAATATATACCCTAGTAAGTTATAGTATTCTTTCCTTTGGGAAGGTACCATCTTTGCAATTTGCAATTTTGTTGAAGAAAGTTGAATCTATTTAATTACTGGAGAAAAATTATAGGTTTCTGTGCATTTTTTTTTTTTAAATAAGTGCATTAAATTAAAATCGGTTTTGTCAATTAAGCATCTTGAGGTAGAGGATGGGGGAGTGGTTCCCTATTTTTTTCCCTTTTCTTTTTTTGCTGGGAGTTGGCAACCCTATACGTTAGATATATGCAATTATAAATTAGGTTGTTTTATATTTTTGCTAAGTACTGTTTAGAATACCAGAATAGGGAGGATGGTGTAGGTTTAAGTTTATTATAAAGGCTTTATGGCTTTTCCTATAATACCATGGTGGGCCGGTCATTAGTCAAAATGCCCGGGCTGATTTTTTATCTTAGTCCAGCCCTGCTCTCTTCTGAACTTATTTGTACATAGTGGCAAAGATTTTAACTACAAGCTTCAAACTTGAATTCATCACTCCATAAAAGACATGTCTCCACTGATTTTCATTTCAGTTCTTGTGTATTTTGGCATCCCTCAGCCTTTTCTCCCTGTTTCCCTTTCTGAAGATTGGCTTCTTGACAGCCGTCCTTCCACTGAGACCATTTCTGATGAGGCTTCAATGAACAGTAGCTGGATCAGCTGAAGGGCCAGATGCATCTCACATGTTCTGTGTCAGATCTTTGCTGATTTTTTTTCCTATATCTTAAGGACATTAATTTCAGATACTGTTCATCTGCTTTGGATAGCTTTTTAGGTCTGCCATTTCTTCTCTTTTCCTCAAACTTTTTAACAACATGCTTCACATCTACATTACGTGTAGACACAACATTGGTTCGTCTATTGTGTTAGGTGTGTTTTTTATGCTTAAATGATCCACAGGGCATTATTATTATTGTGAAAATAGTCAGGGACAAGAACCCGGACTCAGAATGAGTGAAAAGGCAGCCAATGTGCAAAAGAAAAATTTCGGAAGATCTTCAGAAAGCCTGGAAAACTATTGCTTAAGAGCACTTGAAGAAACTACAAGAAAGTCTAGAAGCTTGGAAGCAAAGCATAAAGCATACATGAGGGGTGACTCAAGACCTTTATACAGTAGATGCAATAAGAGGGTGCATATAGTTATGTGCGTGTGTTTGCATATGCATGTATGCATCATATCACAGCCAAAATACTGTGTGTCAGGCATTTACCACTGCATGATTCCCACTGTGAGTTTCACTAAATTTGGTTCACGTGATTAAAGTATTCAGCAGTCAGTGTAATACATTGGTTTCAGCTATTTGTATAATTGCAGTAGGTAAGACTAGATTTAAAGTGGTTAGATTTTGATACAAATATTTTAATCTGTTTGTTCTGGTTTTTCATTTCAGGCTTAGTGATCATGTGGCTGATAAAACCAAACAGCCCATCCTCATCTTCCCTGAGGGTGCGTATCATAATGGGTGTAATTTAAGCAGAAAGCAGCCGAAACAGCCTCGTTAGTATTGTTAAGATCCTCACACTGTAATTTTCAGGTACTTGTATTAACAACACATCAGTGATGATGTTCAAAAAGGGCAGCTTTGAAATTGGCTGCACTATTTATCCCGTTGCCATTAAGGTAGGAGCTTCAGTTCATTTCCTCCTATCTCCTCATACTGCTCTTACTCACTGCTGACGGGCCGTTTATGGTCATCTTGCAGTATGACCCTCGCTTTGGTGATGCTTTCTGGAACAGCAGTAAGTGTGGCCTGGTGCGGTATCTTCTCAGTATGATGAGCAGCTGGGCCATCGTATGCAGCGTTTGGTACCTGCCACCTATGGACAGAGAGGTAAAGCCCTGCCTTAAAACAATATTATCTGCCTGAAAAAGTTAGTGACTTTTAGATCATATAATGTTTCTTATTGTTCATATGCAGGAAGGAGAGGATGCAGTACAGTTTGCCAATAGAGTGAAAGCCGCCATAGCTGCCCGAGGCGGATTAGTAGATCTCATCTGGTGAGACACGTTTATATTTATATATAATTTATATTTCCGAACAATGACGTGTTCATTGTTGGAAAAGGGAAATGTGAACAGTGGTGTAACTGGGACTGTGCAGTGTTATAGTTGCCCAGTTTTACTTGTTTCCTTCAAGCTTTACGGAAGAATTAACAAATGCTGACTTTGCACTTGTAACCGCTGTCGATTCAATGAGTAATACCCCTCAATGTATGTATCCATGTTCTCTCAGGGATGGTGGACTGAAACGAGCCAAAGTGAACAATGCTTTTAAAGAAGAGCTGCAGAAACTTTACAGCAAAGTTCTTGTAGGTGACCATGAAGACCAAAGTGAAAGGATGGAAATCCAGAAAAAAAAAGATTCAACCACAAGACAATGAGGACACAGTGAATGTATGTTATCACTGCAGAGTTTTACTTCTTAAAGAACATTTTACATAAGGTGAATGTAAAATACCACAGGCAGCAATTTGTACAATAGGTGCTTTGTTGGGTACAACTTTCTAGTACTGGGCTGTACCCTCTTTCATTGTGGTCCAAAATGTGCCAAGCAAATATTCCCCACACTGTTACACCATCACCATCAGCCTGAACTGCTGGTATTGCTGCAATATGGATCCATGCTTTGATATTGTTTACACCAAATTTTGACTCTGCCATCGGCAGAAATCGAGACTCAAACAGGCAATGTTTTTCCAATCTTCTGTTTTACAATTTTGCTGTGCACTCAGGGACACTCTTCTCCATGCCACAATCAGAGTCACTTAAATCGTCTTCCTTCCTCATTCTGATACTCATTTCAAACATCAGCAGATCTTGTACATAGACCATGTACATATTACTAAATGCATAGGATTGTTGCCCTGTGACTAGATGATTAGATATTTGCTGCAACAATGAGTTACACTGTTATTTCTACCAGGCTGTAGACCAAAGAAAATGATTTTAATCATCTAACTATCTATATTCCTGTGTATCCAAGGTCAGTCTAAATGTATTTAAAGTTGTACTTTATTAACTTTTCTCTTTTTTAACTGTTTGCATTAAGGCCAAAACCTGAACATCTCTGCATCCGTTTTGTGGGCATGTGAGCTTGTTGTTGTAGTATCTGATTAAAACATTTTCCTCTGACTGCAACAAGTGTTTACTGCTAAAGCTGTTACATCACAGCCAGACACTTTGGCAGTGCTAGCTAATGTACTAATCGGCTCAAGTGTCTATATGTGACTTTGATCTTTGCTGAATTTTGTCCATGAAAAGGAAAGCGAGATCACACTTTTTCATGGCTGCTCCACCGTTTAAGCCTTAATAATGAAGAGCTTCAGTTTACTTGTCCTTGACTCTTACAGCAGACTTTCCTCTACAAAGTAAATTAGCCACATTTTGCTTTAACGTTTGTTCCCTTCCTCAAACAGCAGGAGTCAGTATTTGAGCAGCAATTTGTGACATGGCAATTCTATGGACTCATTTAGATAGCAGTGACTAAATAAATAAATAAATAAATAAATAAATAAATAAATTTACCTTGCCCATGCAAGCGTATTCAAGGTCATATGTATAGAGGAAAAAGCCTGCAAGGAACCAGCTCTGAAACTGGGGGAAAACAGACCTGAGAAATATCATCTCACATTCGTGGTTTTTCGGAGACTTACAACCTTGATCTGCAGGTTTGATGTAATCCATGAAGACACTGGCACTTCAATTTAATTACAATTCAGCAGAGCTGAAGGTGACACTGAATCCAGCCAAATGAATCCTGTCATATGTGGCTTGTCGGGTATCCCATCCCCTCTCCAAGTGACAGAATCATTAGAGCAGAGGTATCAGATTTTAGACATCAGTGGCATAGCTGCTAAGGAATGAGGATTTTTTAGTTTTAAATTATGACACAATTTGGAGCTAGTCTAGAAATACAAACACATAGAGCCAGATTATTATTTAAATGTATGCACCGTAAATACATCGAGGAATAATAAAGTCTTTTACATTCAGTCCTGGTGTTATTGGGTTCATTCGGTATGCGATGACGCTGATGCAGTTTGACATGTACAAACAAGCATCAGGTGTTCTCTGTCATCTAATTGATTGCTGCGTCGCGAGATTCGTTGGAGAAAACGTGTAACCTGTTAATCTGAGGGCGTGCTTTATACAACCAAGGCCCCTTTCTCCGTGTAACCACGCCCAATCAGCTGGTTCCTGAAGTTCAGCGAACCTCAGGAGGAAAAAAAAAAACTTTCCCTCGCTTCTGTGCGGTCTCTTGGTGAGCCGATGGTAGCCACCACTGTGTTTTGTTTTGGAGGATTACATTTTTAACGACTCTGAGCCGTGTCAGCATGTCCTTGACGGATCAGCAGTGGTGTCCCACAAGCGTCCAGGTAACGGTACTCCAAGCCAGGAGCCTTAGGATAAAGGGGAAAAGTGGCACCAACGATGCGTACGCGGTCATACAAGTGGGCAAAGAGAAGTACCAGACTTCAGTGGTGGAGAAATGCGTGGCTCCGGTGTGGAAGGAGGAGGCCTCTTTCGACCTCCCGCAGCTGAACCAGGGAGGAGGAGGCAGCACGCTGCACGTCCACGTCCTTCACCGGGCTCTGGTGGGCCCGGACAAACTGCTGGGACAGGCGGTCATTAATCTGTCACAGCTCAGTGAGGACAAAACACGCAACAAAACCGAGTAAGTTTTCGAGAACAGCCCTGAAGTTGGTGTTTTCTGACGTATTTAAAAGGAAAAAAATATTCAAAATGTAGTCACAGTACTAAAAATAAAACAAAACTACACAGAGTGACTCGTTTCACAGTAGCAGGGGGAAACAGAACTATAATTATCGATGATTTCATACAACTCTGTCATGCAGTTGCCGATGATAACAACATTTATTAAAATGGGTGGGGGCTTTTCACAACCTGCAAACTTTTTCCCCTCCTTTAAAATGATTTCACTTTTCGGCTATAACTGTCTTTAAACGGTTATCGATGTTGTGTCAAAGAGTGACCGTCTGCCAAAACTGATTTCCACTGTTTCCATGTTTTTGCTTTTTTTGTTTTATATGTAATGTCTTTACTTATATTGGTAAATAGACTTTAGTGAACAGTATTTACCAAGGGGTTATTTTAAAAGTATCTTTATGACTCTGTGTTATTGTACATCATAACCATTGCAGTTCTTTCTGGCCATCTAAAATATCTTTAGAGACCTATTGTTATATTTGTTGCAATTTCTGCTATCTTCTTGGCCTGATTACACTTAAAAATACTTTTTAAAATACTTTTTAAATGGATAAATAAAGGATATATAGAAGTCACTTTGCCAAAAACAGATTGGGGCTTCTACCTTGTGATAGGAATGTTGTTTGTGACTCAAGATGACTTGATATAATTCATGAGGGATTCATATGACATGTGACATATTATAGGCCAAAAAATTATTTATAGCATTTTAAATATGGGCAATCCCTTTTTGACAAATACCAGATCACATTAAACTTACTTCAAAGGAAGCATCGCTTCGCCTGCAAAAACCGTCCCTTTGGAGTTTCTCTGATCAATCACTCTTGCTATGCAGCCAGCCTCCTTGACCTCTCTAAAGACGGAGACGTCAAAAGAAATCAAATGAGGATTTGTTGGTTTCTACTTGCATGTAAATGGGGATATTACGGGAGGCAAAGTGAATAATAAGCACCTCTGATTTTCATCTGTGACACGGGAGGGAACCCTCTGTAGCTCCTTCAGTCAGTCATGCTGTAGTTTCTCGATTTTCATAACCCCCCATTAAATAACCAGTATGGTCAGAATCAATAAACGCGGTATAATTTGTGAAAACTGGCTAACGGTTGCCCTATGAGTGTTTTTCTATGTGTTTGCAAGCCTCACTGGGCATGACTCCAATATTTATCTCTTATATTTGGACTTTTTTTTTTTCCCCTTAAAGTTGTTGTGATGTGAGCTATTGGAGGATGCACGCTGTGCACTGTTTATGCATCAGTGCCCAGACCTGCTCTGGTGGGTTCGACTTAAGAGTGCCGTCTACTTGCTCCAGTAGAGCTTAAGGGATTTGTTCCCACTAAAGCAGCCGTTAAGAATGCCAAGCAGCATTATTTACCCAGGCAAATGAAGTGAGCTAGAAGATTTACTTTCATTGACTGAAGGTGTCAACAAGAGGGAAATTGCATCAAGAAAACCCAAGCTTCTGTTCAATTTTTTTCTTTGTTTCAGAAAACGAAAAACTTAAATGTTTAATTTAACGAAACTGCTAAATATAATTAATTCAATTATTTTTACTATGTGAAAACATCCACACCCATCTCTTAGTGTGCAGTAATAATGTAAGTGAACATGTTTTACTGGCCTTGCTGGTACTTTTATATCTGCTCCTTTAAGCAGAAAATGCTCTTTACTCTGTTAAGGTTAAGTGTATTAGTGCTGAAGTTAAATTTTATTTATTATCCAAGACAAATCTGTCCAGGTCCACAGTGAGACATCTGTATCTTTGTAAGAATGGAAAACATTTTCTTTGTAAGCTGTTCCTGGGTGATTTATTCCCCCCGATGTGTAGCTGGTATTATACAAAAGCACACAACAATCCGGCCTGTTGTTCTCCTACCTGTTGAAAGGTTTTCTTGTTGTTGTTTTGTTTTATTTGGGGTTTTTTTTTGGTTCCGCTTTGTTAAAGGTCTTTGGATAACTGCATCAACAAGAAGGCTGGATTTGATGTCGTGATTCATTAATTTTCATATTTCCTCTGCCATGAAGAAGCAAAGAGGTCTAGCCATACTCTGGCATTGTGTTTTTTGACTGGAATGAGCTGTGACTGAAAGGCATTTGGTCACAATTAATTTTTCATACCGCTCGGCCAGTTTGGCTGGTGCCCAGCTCTATTATGCTCTGGAAAGAGGATGCTCGAATATGCTAATGTGAACTTCACCTGCCTGCAGGTTGCACTTTCTGATCATGGCTGATTTAATATTTAAGTTTTCCACAAGCAAAACTGCAGAAATCTGCATTTCTGTAATATTTTTTATTATGTGTGAAGTCAGAAGCTGGTGCTGTGTAAACACTAAGTTCGATCTCTGTTGATTTTTATGTGAGCTCTGCGAATGCACGTTGCCTCAGAGGTTTCATTCTGGCTGCTGCCTTACATTCCTGAACGCCTTATCAAGGAAAAACAAACATTGATGGCAACAGCAATGGTCATGCAAGGTCGGTTTGTCTGAGTAAGACCACTGTGGTAGTACCAAGCATTATCAGACAAGCAGGGTTACATGTGTCATGCTGCTAGCACAACAGTGCTACTGTTAAATGTGCAAGATGTGTTTGTGAACTCTGGAAATCAAGAATTCGACCATGTTTAGCACTTTTTTTTTGCTTGTTGCTTGCAATAGACATTGGTATTTTGTTATCAGGAACTATAGTTTGTGCAGCTGTGTTTGTTTGTTAATAATTAACAAGGAAATCTTCCATTTTTAGCAAACAAAACTGTGACTATTTAAAAAACAAAAAACAAAAAAAACAATCCCACTATGAGGTGCAGTGGTAGCTGCTCTGGTGCACTTGTAGTCTTCCCATAGTATGGTTTTCCCAGCTGTCATGGACATTTTCTTTTTTTAATTTTACTTATTAAAAAAGGTCTGTCACACCAATAAAAAGACACTTTTAATTACATGCACATTAAGATAAAAACCCACTCATTGTATAAACAGACTCATGACTTTTGTTATATAAAATTTATGGGCTGCAACCCTGTCTCCAGAAAAGTTGGGGAAAATCTGCAAAGTTAAATTATTTAAATTATTTTCAAATCACTGAAATCATTTAGTTTACTGAAAGCCGTACAAAGAGCACACAGCAAATGTTGAAACTTAGACATGTCATCAATATTTTTAATTTGAAGCTAGCAGAAAGTTCCAAGTCAGGTAGGGGCATGTTTACTTCATCTCTTCTTTTGGCAGTATTGGGTATTTGAAGACTGAGGACACTAATATATAGTTATTTATGCAGAATAGCCTTTCAGGCTTGATGTAGGACTTCTGTTCAGCATTTTTCGAGCTCCTCTGTCACATTTTTGTTCCATAATGTCCCACATATTTTCAGCAACAAGTCTGGACTGCAGGCGGGCCAGTTGGCATCCAGGCTTGTTTGCTATGAACCGTAATGTTTAATACCTGGATGATTTGAATTGGCAGTTTCTTGCTGAAATGTAGTAATGTGCAAAAGTTTTGAACCACCCCTCATTTCTTTATGTTTTGCTTCCAAGGAGGCAAACTTTCTTCTAATATCTGAGTGTGGTCCTGTGCGATCGTTTTCCATTTCAAAGGTTTTCTGTGGACAGTGGCTGCTTTTTCAATCACTTTCACTTCAGTCCAGATCTGAGCAATTTCTCTTCCTTTGCTAAACCTCAGCCTAACTAGCATAACTATCTGCAGCAGATGAATAGTATCTGAAAGTCATGTTTTTAAGAAACTGGGGAGGGAGAGGGGGGCGGGGGAGGAGGGTGTGGGGATCATCTTGACAGAGAACAGAGCAAAAGGCAGCCAACATCCAAAGAAGCTTTAAATGTCCTTCAAGAAGCCCGGAGAACTATTCCTGAAGACTACTTAAAGAAATTACAAGAAAGCTTGTCTCGGAGTTTATCCTGTGTTGAAAAAATAAAGGTGGTCATGCCAAATACTGACTTTAGAGCTCATTTCAATGATTTTACCTTATATCCTGTTTTCCTTGTATGTTTGCCCATGTTTCAGTAAATAACTTCACTCTTTCCAGTTTCCCAAGGAAACTATAAAGAGATGAGAGGTTGCACAGTCCTGTATGCCAGGCTTTCCCTTTAAAAAGCATGACCTGGGTGGACCAGCATGTTGCTCCAAAACACACAATGTGGTCCAATATGCTAAATATATACTGTATGGACACACATATTACACCATCTATACATTATACCTACAGGAGCTACTTAGCCATGGAAACCCATGCCATGAAGCTCTTGCACACAGTGTTTATGCTGATGTTAATACCAGAGGAGGTTCTAACTTATTCAATCATCAGAGTGTTTTGGACTTTGATGCACTATTTGCACTTGGCGACCTGCTCTGTAACATTTTATGTGGTGTGCCTTTTTGTGGCCAAGTGCTGTGGTTCCTAAACACTTCCATTTTGCAATATTACAGCCTACAGTTGATTGTGGAATATCTAAGAGGAAATGCATTTCCTCTTAGATGCAATGTATTCTCACTTTTCAACTAATAACAAGTATCAATAACCAGCCAGATATTCCCTCATAGTCTTTTTTCAGAGTGTAGCCTACAGGAAGAACCAATTTTTTAAAAGAATTTTGAATGCTTTGCTTGCCAGGACTGTTTTCCACTTTGCCTCAATCAGTCTTAAAAAGACTTGGAAGAAAAGCACTGTTGCTCAATCTTGTGGCTTTTTTTCTTCCCTCTCCTGTCCTTTTGAAGGGTTATGACTTGAATTTGAGGACCAACAGTGTTCTTCATTGGCTTTCATTGATTTCCACTACAGAACATAGTCTGTTTTTAATGCTGTGACACCTGAGGGCCTGCAGATCAGGACAGTTCAATATCGATTTAGCCCCCCCCTTCTTTTTTTTTTTCTTTGCTAGATTCCAAATGTCTTTTCCATTGTAAATTTCTAAATGTTATTCATACCTTTTATTTATTTACTTCATTTACTGCACAATCATGCTAAGTCATCTGGGTTTTTGTTTTTTTTTTTGTTTGTTTTTTTTTGTCTACCATTAACTATTTTTAAACATTGGGTTTGGGAGATTTTTTTTAAACCTATTAAAAAGGAGTTTCAATTTGTGCAATGTCTTCTTTGTGCTACAGTTACACAACTATATGGGGTATTTGCATGACAAAGACTAAACATTTTTATACAACCCAGTTTTACACATGGAGTTGTACAAGGGCATTACAGCAGCTGTGTTAGTGAGAAGCGTTAAGTTGGCTGCTTGATAGCACCTTTAATTTAATTCAGTTTTATTAATATAGCACCAGGTCGGGGAGGGACAAACATCTGATGCGACTGGTTTGAGGGCGATGGGAAGTGGTGGAAATACAAACTGTGTGAACTGCTCAGTGTGTAAAGGGGAAGTCCCTGAGCCATTTGAGCCTATAGCACTATAAATAAATGATGGTTCAGGGTCAGCTGATACACACCTGACTGTCAACTATATCAAAAAAAGGTCTTAAGCCTAATCTTAAAAGTGGAGACTGTGTGTCTCCAAAAGCCTAACTGGGATCTAGTTCCATAGTAGAGGCCTGATAGCTGAAGGCAATGATTCCCATTAAACTTGTAGAAACTCCAGGAACCACAAGTAAGCCAGCAGTTTGAGAGCAAAATATTATGAAGACTTGTCATGAAACGGTGTAAAGAGCTAATCTAGTGATCTATCTCAAGTATAACTTCTGTTCATCATTTCTGACTTCTTACATAGCTTCATTGCCTTTTTCAAGTCACTGTGTGATCTAGCATATGTTATACAGATTTTCAGTTTTAAAAGGCACCAATTTCAGTCTCTGTTTTGGCAAAACAATGGGAAAGTGAGTTTCTTTTCTTTGCACTGGCCTTCATTTTGTTTCTCTGACTCGTGGATACCAATAAGCCTTGAACATTATCACTGTTGAGCTGTTTAACTCGCTCAGCTCTTCTCCCACTCACAGCTGGGTTCTGTGATAAGAAGACAGGGCATTGTCTTATCAGTAGTTCACAATGAAGTGTGTGTGCGTGTGTGTGCACACAAAGTAAAATAGCTTTACAAAATGTTGAGTCATGCATTATCCTCCCCTGGCTCTGCCTGTCCAGCAGAGCTGCAATCTTTCTGCTACTTACAGAGGTGTGAGATTAGTCAAATGGCCTCATCATCTCCCAGGATGTCTTGTATGAAAGCCATCAAAGCAGCTGTAACTCCTGCACAGCACTTACTATATTCAGCCAGCTAACGCCCAAACATTTTTGCAACTTCCCTTCTCATTTAACTGAAGTGACTTACTACTTCTGCTCTTTTTATTTTTTTTCTTGTTCATGTGGGATGCAACTGTGTTGCAATGCAGTACTATTTTGTACTGTACTCTGTCAAAGTACTCATCTGCATGTGTTTTTGTCTATTTGTTTTTTTAATATAAGTATGTTATAGATATATACGGCTGTTATTGTGTACATTTAATATAATTATAAAGATTTTACATTTGGTATAAAGAGGTTTGACAAATTGTCAACTTACAGTGAGGGGTTCTGGTGTGTTTAATGCTGCATATTCTGAATATTGAAATTCTGAGTGGAGTGGTTTCTCCAAGGGCGAGACTGTAGCTATCCAGAAGGCCTAACTGACTACTGATCCACATGCTAGACAGCAGACTTTAACACCATCGCCAGAAATGCCAAATAGATATCTTTTGGAAGAATGCTCTTCATCTATTGAGTAGGGCCCGAGAGGTTTGAAGTACAAATGATGCGCTCCTTAGAGACTACAAATGGGCCATTGTCATTGGTCTGTGCTGTCACTGGACACCTCAGTGTCACCTTGCTAGTACTGGGTGAGAGCCCTCTTTGCCATCAGAATGGACTTAATTCTTTGTAGCATAGATTCAACAAACATTTCTCAGAGATTTTGCTGGATGTGGACGAAGAATTATGGATCCATGCTCTCATGTTGGTTGTGCAAAACTCTGATCATCTAAATATGAGACTGTTGAAGGAGAATAATGACTATTGTTTAATTTTGGTCAGACATTAGAAAATGTACCTTCAGTTTTCTGTTCTTGGCTGACAGAAGTGGAGCCTGGTGTGGTTTTCTTCTGCTGTAGCCCATCTGCTTCAAGGTTTGACACAGTCAGAGATGCTCTTCTGCATGCCTCCATGGTTTTAACAGTCATTTGTGTTACTTTTGCTGCATTCTGCCCCCTCCTCTGACTAAAAAGGTGTTTTTGCATTTAGAGAACTGCTGACCACTGGATATTTTCTTTTTTTGGATCATCTTCTGTAAACCCTAGAGATGGTTGTTTGGGCAATTACCAGCATACTAGCAATTTCTGAAATATAATGGCAACAGAAACTACAGTATGCAACATTCAAATTCACTTATCATATTTCGTCTTTGTACTTCAGCAGTTCAGTCTGACCATGTTTACATTAAATTGCTGATTGACTGCTGTATGTGCATTTTAAATTCATAAAATTAAGAATAAATAGTTTAGTAAAAAATAGTAAATCAGTTTTAATCCAACAATTAACCTTCTTGTACTAGATTGCATGTAGATGATGAACTATCCTAATTTATCTCAGTACACACAAAGAAGGGGACAGACAGTCAAGTTATTCTGGCGATGATATGACTGAAAAAGTGGAATTGTTGTTTTGTTTTGTTTTTTACTTGTATTGAATGAAATATTATTTTTCATAACTTTATATCACTTGTAGATGTGTCCCCATCCCATCTAGATGCGTTC